GTTTTTGTACCGTATCGTTACTGGGGATGAAAAGTGGATATATTTTGAGAATTTCAAGCTCAAAAAATCATAGGTAGACCCAGGCGCACCATCCACATCGACTGCAAGACAGAATCGTTTTAGCAGGAAGATGATGCTCTGTGTTTGGTGGGACCAGAAGGATGTGTTCTATTATGAGCTGTTAAAGCCTGCTGAAACGGTTAATATCAAACGCTACCAACAATAATTGATCGATTTGAACCGTTCGCTACTCGAAAAACGACCAGAATATCAAAAAAGGCAACACAATATCATTTTTCTCCATGACAATGCTCCATTACATATGGCAAAACCGGTTCGCGACACGTTGGAAGCACTCAGCTGGAAAGTGCTAGCCCATGTGGCTTACTCACCAGACTTGGCTCCTTCCGATTACCACTTGTTTGCATCGATGGGTCACGCACTTGCTGAGCAGCGCTTTGGTCTCGTACGAAGATGTGAAAAAATGGCTCGATGAATGGTTCGCGGCAAAAGGAGAAGATTTTTACTGGCGTGGTATCCACAAATTACCCGAAAGATGGGAAAAATGTGTAACGAGCAATGGAGCATACTTTAAATAAACCACTTTCTATCATTCTTCCGAAATTACCGTGTTTTTTTTTAAATCCGCATTTTGTACTTGTACACCTGGTAACCTAACTCAATCCATTTAGTGGTTTATGGTAACTGTCGCGTCGCGTAGAAAGTCGAAATTCATGCGCAATAGTACAACCATAGAATTATGTTCGCATAGAAAGTCACATGTCTGTACTGTTGTGCATGGATTTCGACCTTCTACACAAAGCGAGAGCTACCTCACACCACTAAATGGGTTGGGTTACGATATTTTTAACAGTAGTGGAGTCCCCCCTGCTGTTAAAAAGAATAGTTTAGACTATTGAATACGCATAGTATTAAGTATTGATAGTAGGGGGAACTGGTCCAATTCGGACCCTCGGCCAATTCGGACCCCCTATAGTTTCCCGCAATGGCGATACCGGGAAAGTCTATATTATCATTTTTTATAGTTGTGATAGTGCTCTGATATAACACACAAAATTTGACGGTTCTCAGATGTCGTGTCTGTTAGCCAGAGGAACTTTTTGTTTTGGAGTGCTCTGACGAAAAATTGATGTTCAGAACACCTAGATTTTTGCTCGCTACAATAATAAATTAATCGAAATGGTATGTCGTGGTTAACAATCTACTGGATTATACTTTTCATCTGGTGTATCGTTTTTGGTGAAAACGTTTACTGTTCTTGCGCAATCCGTATGAGAATTTAGAAATGGGCATTGGTCCAATTCGGACCTTTTGGCATGGTTCAATTCGGACCCCCCGTTTTCACGCGCAATTCGTGATTTATTTTATAATTGTGTCAATAAATTATTAATAAAATAATTTATTTATAATTTAAATTACTTTTGGTGCGGGTTATGATAGGTTACTGAGTACGTAAGTAACTACGGAGCGCGCTACCTGCACTCCCTAATCGGCGCCCCCCAATAGTGTACTGTTGACCTTCCAGTGTTTATTATTTTGTAGAAACAAAGCGTAGTTTTCAAGCTGTTCTCAATCAGTATGTGAAAAGTCGTCGGCCAGTGAGGTAGGTAGAAAACCTCGCTGCATTAAATTATTATTTACAAGCTGATTTAATAATTTGCATTTATTTTCGCCATTTTGACTCGCACCCTGTTTTTATCGATTTGTTTCGATCTGAATGTGTGTTTTTATCAGCAGCTGATTTTCCAATAAAATGGGTCGAACCTACAAAAAGAAAAACACAAAAATCGATCCGGAGATACTAAGAAATGCGGTCCTTAGTGTAAATACGGGAATGACTTTGCGTGCAGCTTCGCGGCTTTATGGTGTTCCTCGGACGAGTTTGCGACGTCAAAGCGAATTCAACAAAGATGCTTCAACAAATTCAGCAAATTCGTCGTCAACATCCTCCAAGGCATCTTTTGAATTGAAAGACATTGCCATCAGAAATACTGGGCGAAAAACGGTATGTTTACTCTCTAGTGTCTCAATCTGTGCGTTTTTTTCATTCGGTTGTCTTCTCTAGGTTTTGACAACAGAGCAAGAAAAGAATGTGGAAGAGTACTTGATATATTGCAGCGACATTTACTTCGGATTATCCGCTAATGACGTGCGTGGACTGGCATATCAGTACGCAGTTAAAATCGGGGCTGACTTTCCGCCTGCTTGGGACAGAGATGGAAAGGCCGGTCTCGAATGGTTTTATGGTTTTATGCATCGTCATCCAAAGCTTTCCATAAGAACACCCGAGGCAACGAGTTTGGCACGAGTTTCGGCATTCAACCCTGTGAATGTTGCCCTCTTCTTTGATCAATTGAAGGTCGTTGCCTCTCGGATGCTGTATGAGACCAACAACATTTGGAATATGGACGAAACTGGCATAACGACCGTCCATAAACCACAACGAGTCGTTTCCAGACGGGGACCGCGGCAAGTTGGAAGCGTGACATCGAGCGAACGCGGCCAGATAATCACAATGGCTCTTGGTGTGTCAGCTTCTGGAATGCGCATACCTCCATTTTTTGTTTTTCCGCGGAAAAGGTTCCACAGTTATTTTCTCAATGGCGCTCCTCCTGGTAGCAATGGTGCTTGCAACCCAAGTGGGTGGATGAATGCCGAAATATTCATTGAATTTCTAGCACATTTCAAAAAATTTACACGACCGTCAAAAGAAACGCCCGTACTTCTATTGCTCGATAACCATGAATCGCACAGATCGTTGGCCGCGCTTCAGTTTTGCAGGGAAAACGGGATAATCGTCCTGTCATTCCCTCCACACTGCAGCCATCGGCTGCAACCATTGGATGTATCTGTGTTCAGCCCATTTAAATGTGCTGTCAACACTCAGTGTTCAAATTGGTTGTTAATGAATCCCGGTCGACCGATGTCAATTTCCGACCTTCCTCAAATTGTCACCAGAAGTCTCGAGCTTGGGGCTACGGAGCAAAACATCAAAAGTGGTTTTATGAAGTGCGGAATTTTGCCACTTGATACTGATATTTTTAAAGATGTCCACTACTTGCCATCCTCAGTCACCGATAGACCTGAACCACATCAATTGCCGGGAGTTGAAGCACCAGCCGAATCTTCGTTTACTGCTCCAGTTCGATCTTCAACACCTATATCCGAATCACCCGAATCTACCACAAATATATCCGATCCACCAGAACCTGTCCAGAATGTCCCGCATCCAAGCGCATCGCATTTAGACGACGCGGTATTGAGCATTCGGCCTATTCCAAGAGCCCCGCCACGGAAAAGTGGTCCTCGTCGCGGTAGGAAGCCGCAGAAATCAGCCATATTGACTGATGACGACTTCGTTTCTGCCCTGGTCGAGAAAGATGCCGCAAAAGAAACTGCACAGAACCCAAAGAAGCGCGGTCGGCCACAGAAGAAGAGTAGAAGCAAAAAAATCGCTCTTCAATCGGCGTCACTTACATCACCACAGCCGAACTGTAGCACGGGTAGTTTGCTAACACGATCAGGAAACCGCCCAAGAGCACAAAGAGTTCAATACTTTGAACCAAACTCGGATTCTGATTGATATTCATCTAATTATTCATTTTGTTTCTTTCGTTTACTGTTATTGTTATTTTCCTTTGGTGTTTACATTTATTTAGTGTTCAGATGCAATAAAATTAAAAAAGAAAACACATCAGAATGATTTTGCTTTTACTTCCATTGCGAGAAACGATAAAAAAAGGGGTGGTCCGAATTGGAACATGGTAGGTCCGAATTGGACCAGGGTTGGTCCAATTCGGACCTTTTGTAGACTTTTACTCCAGAGCGTTTGTATATAATTTGAGAGGAGATCGCGAAAAATCCCCTGGAGGAAAATGTGCGCAATTGATGAGGCTTTCAGGAAAAAAAAAGTTTTTGCAAATCGGTTGGCAATTTTCATGTTTACAGCTCAAAAACCCTTACTAGGTCCGAATTGGACCAGTTCCCCCTATACAATGGTCCAGACTATTGAGTCTGAATATTTCGAGAATTATAAGAGTCCGCCTCCTAATTGTTAAGCCAAAGTCTCAGAATCATGACCTTGACAACATATGTCAAAGTCAAGGTCATCGGAGCTGGGTCCCTTAAAGTGAACATTTACCGAGACTTATAGTGTTTTTCAATTTTCGAACATGGCCGGAAACACTATCGCGTCTCCTGGTAAAGACATTAAATACCCCCCCTCCTATCTCATTACTTCCTCAACCACGTTGTGATAGAATACAGTTGTTTGTATTATACTTGTTTACAGGTAATTTTTCATTTTATTACTTTTAGTTATTTTAATTTCATACACTTATAAACTTTATATAAACTTTACTTTTTGTTTTAACTTTATTAATTATACCGATTAATTTTATTTTGCTTCAACTTTTACATAGTTTCACACTTTAATATTGAATTTTCAAAAATTTTTTGTTTTTATATCTATCATTTCTTTACTTTTTTTTTATGTTAATGCATAATGGGCCATTCTAACAAGATACTGTATAAACTAGGATGCATCTTACTACAGGTTCTCTACATAATGTGCATATATTTAAGGAAATAATCATGTAAGCTAAGTATTATCTTTCCGCTTGAAGATGACTCGAACTGAGTCGAAACGTTCGGTTAACCTTTATTATTTTAATTCTTAATTTTCCACTATTTGGTGTGTATTATTGTTTTTGTGTTATATATAATTTACCTTGGCTTGTTGTCTTTTTTATTAATATTTATTTTTATCTTAGAAGCCACTTATTTACATTGCTTTATATGTTAAAATGTATGAATATTTGCGAAATTAGACCATAAGTAAGCCGCGAGAAATTATTTTTTAATATTTTTGGTCTCTTGTACTGTAAAAATGTTTTCTGTGCTTTATTTAATTTAATTTGAAACATGTAATTTAAAGTAATGCATGAATTTGAAATACAATATATGCCTACTATGACGAATATCTCGAATACAGAAAGGAAATTTACAAACTTCATTCCATTTGTCTAGGTTGCGTTTATGGGAAAGGATATCAATACACCGGCAAAGCTAATGTAACATCATCAGGAAATGAATGTCTTCCGTGGGCCGACGAAAGAATAGCACATCAATTGCGCATAACTGTAAGTTTATTATTATATGTATTATGATATATATACATCTTAAAATAAGGTTTCCATTAAATCATGGTATAACATAATTTTTATTATTAATTAATATCAGGTTGTTAATCAAGAAATTCGAGACAAACTGGAAATGCATAACTATTGCAGAAATCCGAATCCAATAAAGGAGTTGAGACCGTGGTGCTTTGTAGAAACTGGAAAGCGTGAATATTGTGATATTCCTGCCTGTGGAAATATTGGTATGTATTTAATTAGAATATATTAGTAGATACTGTACCTTTTCAATAAAGTTGTGAAAAAAGAAATAAAAATAAAGTTTGTTATACTACATAAAATTAATTTTTTTTTTCTTTAGATTCAAAACGATCTATGTTGACTGGTCAGTGCAAACCTAAACATTTTGAATGTATACCAGGAGAGTGCATCCCATCTCCATGGGTTTGTGATGGGGAGGAGGTGAGATATAGAATATACATATATTCTTATTTACTTTCACATATACGAGGGTCGTCTGAAAAGTTTTGAGCCTCATCATGAAGATAGCGTTACTCGTCAAAGCCATTCTGGTATTATAATCGTAATACTTACGAAAGATATCTGTGACAATTGTGGCCACTTTGGACGTTCAGTTCTTGTTTGACAATCATTTGTGTCGTTATTCTGTAAAAATGGAAAAAATTGAATATCGTGCTATAATTAAATTCTTGCATTTGAAAGGCAATACGTCTACGCAAATTAAAGCCGAGTTGGACGCTGTTTACGGGGACTGTGTCCCATCATTTGCCACCGTGAAAAGATGGGTAGCTGAATTTAAACGTGGTCGTACCAGCTTAGCTGATGATGAGCATTCGGGACGGCCAACAACTGCGACCACCACCGATAACATCGAAGAAATTCATCAAATGATAATGGACAACCTTCGAATTAAGGTTAGGGAGATAGCAGAGGCTGTTGGCATATCGAAAGAACGTATTTGTCATATATTGACTAAAGAATTAGGCATGCGTAAGTTAACCGCGTGTTGGGTGCCGCGCTTGCTCACTCTGGATCAAAAACGCATTCAAATGAACATTTCTAAGACCGTGTTGGAGCGGTTTAAGCGAAACGAGTCGGACCTTTTGCGTCGATTAATAACGGTAAAACTTAGGTCCACCACTTCACTCCTGAAACGAAAGAACAATCAAAACAGTGGACTGCGAAGGGTGAACCTGCTCCGAAGAAAGCGAAGATGGTTTTATCGGCGGGAAAGGTGATGGCTACTGTTTTTTGGGACAGTCATGGAATTGTGTTGATCGACTATCTTGAAAAAAGTAAAACAATAACAGGACGTACTACGCATCATTACTTGACAAGCTGAATGCAGAAATTGAGAAAACAGACCGCATTTGAAAAAGAAGAAAGTGCTGTTCCATCACTTAACATAACGCACCGTCTCATACTTCGGCGGTCGCTTTGGCAAAAATTCACAAATTGTGATTCGAATAAATTGACCATCTACCGTATTCACCAGATCTGGCCCCTAGCGACTTTTTTCTGTTTTCTAGGCTCAAAATTTGGCTCAAAGGACAGAAATTTTCAGCGAACGAGGAGGTCATCGCATCCGTAGACGCCTATTTTGCAAAGCAAGACGCTCAGTATTATTTGAATGAATTAAAGGGGTGGGAGCATCGCTGGAAAAAATGTATCGACTTAAAAGGAGACTATGTGAAAAAATAAAATTAAATTTGAAAATAGTTTTCTGCTGGTTAAAAAATTAAAAACAATAAAAACACTTCACCTCATCATAAATTAATTTCGTTAGACGTAATATCTCTTTTTACAAACATTCCAACAGACATAAGGTGTTTACGACAAATGGTCGGATTTCTAATCCGATCGAACAGTGGTACTCAATTGTTGCATTTCAAAAAACTCCCTAGCTTAATCGGATTTTGGTGCCTGTCTCAGGAGGTAATCGAATTAAGTTGAACGGATCGTGAGGGAGAAATAATTTTGCGAATTTGCGTATGAACTTAATAAAAGCAGAGTGCATAAAGACAAAGAGGTACGTACGTTAACTATTATTCTAATAATTATTGTGTATTTTATTCTTAAATGTATATCAATAATGGAAATATGTATAGTTTAGTAAAAGAATTTTGGAAAAGTAAATATAATCTCACTTTATTAATATTTAACTATAATTTAAAGAGTACTAACGATTCATAATAATATGTTATTTATTATTATATTTTACAGAAAATTGTTGAAGGTTTATTTATTAGATTAGTTCAAAATGTCATTTGTATCGTTTTTCGTCAATTTGTACTAGATATTGCAATAACAATCTTTTTATATTTTATCAAATATTTAAATATTTTTATATTTTATTATATATCTACGATGTAACGATGCGCCCCTTATACGCATCGTTCCCGGCAACAACACCCAGCCGGATGCCGCTGAATCAAGCCTGCGATACGGCGATGAGGGCGCGATGCGCCCGAGTATATTTTTTAGAAAATACAAAAATAATTCACAGGTACAGCGGCCGCCGAGTAACCGCTAGTCTCGGCGAATAGTTCCGACGGCTACCGAGAACCGCCGATCGGAAATCTTCTCTCACGAGAAGCCGATCGGCGGAAAATATCGAAGCCGACCGAGGTATTGCGAACGAGACTGGCAGCTAAATGTATAAAATACCGCGTCGACTACGCGCCGCGGCCTTTTTTGCCTATACCAGTCCGATCCTAAACACTTTCCGAATCACCAGCTCCTAGTCAGTGCTCCGAGACCGCTTTCCGCGACCTGCTCGTTCCGACAAACCTAGGGGATAGGGCGTACCCTGCCTCTGCCGGGCGTTCTCGGCCGCCGGACGAACCGTCAACGATCCGATCTCTAAGCACGCACCACGTTGTTCCGACGAACTTAGGGGGTAGGGCGTACCCTGCCTCTGCCGGGCGTTCTCGGCCGCCGGACAACCGCTGCAGTTATTCCTTCGAACCTCCGCACACTCTTTTCCTATCCTGAATATTCCCGTCCCGATAATCAGCATTCGAAAGGGGGTAGGGCGCTCTCTGCCTCTGTCGGGTGTTCTCGGCCGCTGATTATCGGATCCTTTTCCTGGTGCAGTGTTGTGCAGTACCTAGATACAAGTACCTAGTACTGTAACTAGGTACAAGTTTGTGTACCTAGGAACTGTACCGAGTACTTTTTTTTTCTGGTACCTATACCTATACCTAGGTATCATTTCTTGTGTACCGGTACCTATATTTTAGGTACACTTTAGTAATTTTTCAAATCCACAACTGCTTAACTGAAAACTTATCACACAAGATCTGAGTGTGTAAACTTATTAGAATGTTCTAAACTAGAATAAGAGTCTAAACGTTTATGATTTTTTTAATGTTATTATTCTAATAAATTTATTTACACATTCAGATACTGTGTTAATAAGTAACATTTTAATAATAGCAGGGTACTAAAGTGTTACATTTTTATAATAAGTAATTGTGTATCCTGTTACATTCATGTATCATATGCCAATATGTATATGTCAATAAATGAATTATTCTGATAAAACTAAAGTTTTATACATTAAACTTGTATAAAGAATATTTATGTATGTATACATAAAATATATGTATAATAACTTAATAATTAAATTACATGCAGATACATGAAATACATAGATTATATTTAACAAATAAGCTGTCGAAATTGCATTTTGTCATCAAAGTGCAATTTATCCTGAGCTTTCATGTTAAAAGTAAAAGTATCTATAAAATACATTTAAGGTACATTAAAAATATCTGTACCTGTACCTAGGTATATTATTTTTTTAGTACCTGTACCTGTACCTCGGTACATTTTTGTTAGAGTACCTGTACCTGTACCTAGGTATTGAAAATAGAGTACCTTGCACAACACTGTGCACGACCATTTTCGAAATACGCGTCGCGCCGCGAGTTTCATTTGCTGGCGTATACCCGCGTTCCGCCGCGTTGACAAACACCGCCTCGCACGATCCGCGCCGCGAATCAGCCAAACGTCGAAAAAACGAGCGACATCACTAGTACCGCCTCGCCGTACGAATCTCCGACACCGCCGACCGCCGAATTTCGTACACCCGGCGGCTACTGACGCCTTGCGACTCGTTCTGTAAATAATTCGCGCATTTAGAAATAAGTATCGCTGTACTGTCCGCGTCCGTCCGACTATTCTGTTTTATCTTTGTAATTACTCGCGTTTCCATCCTTCTATTATATCGCGTAATTTTCTTATTTTATTCTTCTGTGTATATTACTATTATATCTTTATATCGTCTTTGTAATAAATCGTGATTGTTCTACTCAACCATTATTTTATATTTCTTTTGTTGTTTCTCCGAACATTTCCGTGTTTTCGATCCGACGCGAATACTTCTCCTGTCGAACCTTTTTTATACGGTTCGCATATTTTTACCGACGAGCTAGTCCGAATATAAAAATCAGGTTGTTACGTTTACAACGTAAATTATTAATTTACACAGGCAACTTATAAAGATGGATATATTTTTTTGTTGTTGTATGGAATATTTTCTTTAATAATGAGGACGATGAAGATGACAATTGATAAATGTACCGTGTCAGAGAATCGCACTTGAAAATTAATAATTATTATGAGAACATTGTCTTCTATATTATGTCACAGGGGTATTGATAAAATTTTTATACATTACTTGTTTAAATTTTATTTTGTTATGTGAAAATAGCATTTTGTATAAAATAATAATTATTAATTTTTAAGTGCGGTTCTCTGATATGGTACATTTACCAATTGTCATCTTCAAGTGAAATTATATTTACTTTTTCAAAATTCTTTTACTAAACTATACATATTTCCATTATTGATATACATTTAAGAATAAAATACACAATAATTATTTGAATAATGGTAAATATATAAATTAGAGGAGCCCCCCCCGATGATCTTGACCTTGACATATGTTGTCAAGGTCATGACCCTGAGTAACCTCCCGCAGGTTTTAGGTGACGGTCACTGTCCGTTAAAAAGTTATTAACAAAAAAAGTTTCAAAATTAACGTATAATTTCTGCCATATATGTATTATAACAAGTACTATTTTACATCTCCTTCCGTTTAGAAACGTTAAACTTTCCACGCGAAGTAACTCTCACCTACCCCAACCCCCTGGCGAAGGGGCACACGACTTCTACGATTGTACTGTTGCTATGATAGTACTCTCGGGGCAGACCTTTGTGACGGTGTGGCCTTCGGCCAA